TCCTTTCTATGGAACTAAATAAGTACTGAAAAGATTCAAAGTGTACAAGAATATTTGGATGCCTACAACAAAATCCACAAGCATACACTATAATTCACAAATGTGCACAATGAATAAATATATATCAAACCCACTGCAACAATGATAAAGAAAAACAATCCACACTGCTTTCTGATTGTCAGATGTATGAAAGACACAGTCAGATAAAGTGACATTAAAAATGAAATGAGATCTTAACATTTTCTCCAAAAAGAATCCCATGCTATGAATTCAGGGTTAAGATGTACAGTGCATACAAAGTAATTATACCCCTTGAACTATTCCATATTGTTACATTACAACCACAAATATATTTCCCCAGAATGCAATATGAAAGACCAAAACAAATACCCATTATGATGAGTGAGATACAAAAGAAAAAGTGTAATACTTTTGGTTGTCGATTGTTTCATCATACAAAGTAGATTTGGGATTTCAAGTTCAATAAAGTTGGTTTATTTTAGGGCTTTTCTTAGAGCGGGTCATTTTTGACCCGTAGGACAAACAGAGTGTTATCGCACCAGGGTTAAATACTTGTTCACCCCAATGCATTTTTACATTTGTGGTTGTGATGTAATAAACTATGAAAAACTTCAAGGGGCGTGACTACTTTTGCAATCCACTATAGAAGCAGCTTATACTAAAGCCAACACACAATATATAGGATTGTGGTAACTGTAGTAAGCCTGCAAGACACCCGACTGGACACAGCATTCTGGATGGGAGATGTAAAGGTGATCAAGAAGAGTACGTTTTTCTGTGGTTGGATCAGTGATAAGTTGCATAAAGCCTTTTGCTCTAAACAACTCATTGATGGATTTTTTCCCAGGAGGAATAAGGTCCTCATTGAAGTCTCCTAATATAACAGTGGGCTTAATATCCATTGAATTCAGGCCATCCAAGAGGTTTTGAAGATTTCTTAAAAATGTTCCAAGATCATAACTTGGTGGCCTGTAAACGGTCGCGATGAGGGCTGTGATTGGGGAGTCCACTTTGACAACGTTGAATTCAAGATCTGTAACCTCGTTAAAGAATCTTCGTTCCTGCGGTTGGAGAAGACTCCGGCAGTAAGTCGCTACTCCCCCACCCTCTTTGGTAGCAATGTCGACTCTGTTTGAGTAGGAGACATGTCTGTTCCGTGAAAAGAAACAATAGCCCTCCATTTGGCAAGAAGCTGGAACAGAAGATCCAAATAAATGAGTCTCCGTTAGGCATAAGATATCTGCCAACATAAGTTCATGATGTTGTTTCATGTCCTCAGAGTGACAGACAAGACCTTCGACATTGTGGTGGACAATTGTTAATGTTGCACCCTGATGACCCGACTGAAAATGCAAGAGTGGTCTGGTGTGCAAGAACGATGCTGGTCTCATTGATTCCAAAGCCACTCTGATGTTTTCATCAGCATAGATCTTACGTTCATCGAAATCAATGATTTTAAGTCCTTCCAGGGAAGTTGTGCGACTGAGGGCCACATATGCCATTCCAGGTTCAAAAATACGCTTCAAGGAGACTACCGCAGACTTCATGGTCATCCCTTGCACTTTATGTGCTGTACATCCAAAGGCCAACTTTATTGGAAATTGCCGTCGTACCACTCCTTTTACACTAGTCTGTTCCTCAAATCTCTCAATGTAAACAAAGCCGTCTGGTTTACCTTGAATCTTTTTTGTGCGTCCAGCTGTGGGATTATCTAATTTGAGTCCAATTAACTTTACACTAGTCTTTCCATCTTTGGTACTGGTGACAATATCAGCAATGGTGCCAAATGTCCCATTGACAAGACCATCCTCTACATCCAAGTTCCTTATAATCATTACTCTAAACCCCAAACCAGCCTGTATGCTG